AAATCTTAATTTCTTCTCCTAAATACTGCATATATATGTTTTAAACTCTCGTTGTCACTATAAATGGCAATAAGATAGGGACCAGCAAGGGAGGGACATATTCCTATTTTCTCATCCCCACGTAAGATTAAAATCATGCTCCATTCCTTACCCCGTTCTTTTTCAGAGAAAGGTTATTCTTCAAGAGTGGTGACTTCTTATTTTGTTGTTAACTCTCTAATCAAGTGTATACAATTGTTAATATTAAAATTAAAAAAATGCAATTCCAATCCTACATCAAAAGCTAACCAAATATTCATCACACACGCAAACGATGTGGCCAAAGAAGGGAGGGATCTCCCTACTTCTGTCACCCCGTCAAGACGAAAAATTAGGCCCCTTATCAAATTTGGATAAAATTACCAATTCTAATTAAATCTGTCACTACAAATTAGTATTAATCAATATTACTTAATCAAATCAAAATTCATTTAAACTTTCATACATAGATCGAGAATAATAGTATAATAGTATTTTAATTTATACAATGATTTAAAGTTGTGTGTACACATATATTTCCTAATGAATGAGGTGTAGAGGTGAAAGTATGAACATGGGAAAAGGGCAAAGGGCCACTGCCAAAAGAGGCATGTCCTCCAAAATGCTTCATGTGCGTATCATTCGTTTTCCCAGGTTACGTTTTTGGAAAACCAAAAACCAAAAACCAAAAATTTAAATACTTTTTTTTTTTAATTAAAAAAAAAAAAGAAAAAAAGAAAAACAGCGGCAGTTAGCTAGTTGTAGTTGTGTGCAGTAGCTTTTGAAGAGTTTCTTTGCCGTACCAAGCACATGATACTATCAAATATTTTCTTCAAAACTGTGTTGCAAAGGGCAAAAGTCAATCCACACAGGTAGGCAATCCCATTCTAATATTTGGCTTGCTGACTTTTTTTTTTTCCATTTCTTTTATTTTTTATATTACGTAAAGAAAAAGTCGAGAAAACTGTTTTTATATTATATTAGAATGCTGAATTAGAGTGCTGGCGATGAGCGTCAAATAGGTAACCTATAACCCAATGGAAGGTCTAAAAGGTCTTAAACTCCTGCCTTGCTAGCCAGTCTGAAGCCTCTTGGTTTCTTTCATAAATGGAATAATTTGAAATTATTATATTACCCAAATTATATTAAATTATTGTATATAATATAATATCATACATGTGATTAATTTGATATTAAAACCATTATTAAGTGAATAAAATAAATTCATTATTATTATTATTCGAGTATTAAATAAAATTTTAGATAAAAATTCAATTGAAAATAATGTTGCTTGGTAGAGTTTAATAACTGGCTTAGCACGAATTGAGAACAAATTTGAGATTGTCCATGTGGGCAGCTCAACTGGTTGTAAATGTAAAAATTTTCTTTAGAGACCAATGATTAAATCTTACCAATGATAGTGTGGGAGCAACCTCTTAAAATGAAGAGGCATCTTAAGCGTACAATTTCACATTTTGTCACAAGAATAAATAGGAATGCATGAGTAATTATGGCTTTATTCAAGCATCTCCCTAAAGTATAGATTAATCCAAATAATAAAAGGAAATATAATTTCAAAATTAAATAACAGACAAAAAAAATCCTTCTTTATTATAAGAAGTTTTATAGCTATTAAAGTCCAACTAAACCAAATTAAAATTATATAGACATGAGAAAATTTTCCGGATTTTACTGATTTTTTTTGTTTTATAGAAGAATATTATAATTATTTTTGAGAAAAAAAGTTTATATAAAAAAAAAAAAAAGGGGGAAATAATAATAATTGGAGTAAAAGGGGGTTATGGGGGCTGGCCAATAGGAGAGAACGCGTTTTTGAGAAATAAATATGGAGAGTGAGAGTGAGACAGAGCAGCAACAGCTGTATGTTCTCATCATATCATCAAAACCTATAAACCTTAAAATTCTTCCCTCTTCGCACTGTTCCATTGCGCGTCTCATCTTCAATTCAATTCTCTCCTGCTATCTACTTCCCTACATGTTTTTTGTCTGAATTAATTTCACTTTTGATCCCACGACTTTAGAGGATCTATCACTTTTGGTGCACAACTTTAAAAGTTTTCAATTTTGGTGCCTAACTTTGTTGTTTTTATCAATTTTGGTCCTTTCAACCAAATTGACGATGAAATATTGCCGGATTTTATATTTTTAGGGGTAAAATCGTCATCCCAAGGAAACATCTTCAATATCTAAACAAAATCACTCTAAAATCATATCTATAGGTGTTTGATCGATGAGAATAATTGGGAAGACGGACAGAAACTAGACACGGATCTATGAGATTTATAGCATCGACGATTGCCAAACTCTTATATTTCTCTTAACATGATTTTTCTTTTGTTTGGATATTGAATATCTTTCCTTGGGATGACGATTTTGCCCCTAAAATGTAAAATCCAGCAATATTTCACAGTCAATTTGGTCGAAAGGACCAAAATTGATAAAAATAACAAAGTTAGACACCAAAATTGAAAAAATTTAAAGTTGTGCACCAAAAATGATAGAACCTCTAAAGTCGTGGGACCAAAAGTGAAATTAGTTCTAAAGTAATTAATGGTACGTAATTACTTTATAATATATGTTGTTAATTAAGATTAATATATTCATATTTTGTACTCCTAAGTCCTAAGCATCGCTTTCTCTCTCCCTCTCCATGCATAATCCAGGAAGCTACTTCACTTAGAATCCTATGATTCTCCCTCTCTCTCTCTCCCTTTACCCTTCCATTATTGTCATACAAAGATATGATGGGACATGAGGCTTTTAATTATTACGATTACACTATTTCATTTCAACAAAAGTGTTCTTTCCATCTCACCCTTTTGCCCATCACCAAACTTACAACACTCTAACCGTGTATTTGAGAGAGTTGTTATTTCAGACCTAGCTCAATGATTTAGTGTGCAGTATTTGGGATTAGGGACCAAGGTTCGAATTTCGGCGGTGGCAATATGTGAATTATGTCTAAACCATTGAGTCACCGTGATTTACATGCTCTGTCGGGTCACCTTTAGGGAGAAGAGAGAGTTATTACCTCAAAACAAGTTTATATTCATGACTGAGTAGTCGCAAGGTTAGAGGTTTATAGGTCAATTAAGACACATCTTGCGATTAACCTTTTCCACCAAAATGACAAGGATTGTGTTAGAAGTTTATAGGTCAATTAAGACACATCTTGCGACTTAACTAACTGATAAACTTAAAATAAGTCAATAATTTTATTTTTTTAGTACTCAATAATTGTAAGATACAGGTCTAGCTATAGGCCAATTAAGACACATATTACAATTGACCTCATCCACTAACAGGGTAGGAGTTGTGGTGATGACTCTGAAGATTGGAATACTGTGCAATCTTTTGAGAAAGTTGCGCTACTAGAGCAATCAAAATGATTTTACTATTTCGATCTTTTACGCATCAAAATCTAATGAAAATGATACAATTGGATCTATTAAACTGCTCCAATCTTAGTGTAATAAGTCTAACATAACTAGTCACCTAAATGCACATGTTAAGTATGTATATATATAAGTATTTGTTTGGCTACAATATATGAACATAACTCAACTAATAATTTATTAATGTCCATTACTATTATTTCAATTATATGATGAAGGTAGCAATTAGAACAATTTATAATAACAATTTCTAAATATAGGAATTAAACTCAATAGTCAATACCCACTTTAAAAATCTCTAGCTAATGTATGGGGATACACAAATTGGGTATTTGTATGTTAGCAATAATCTTTGGAAAAACATCCATCTTATCAAATCAAGTTCCAATAGTACGACCTAACTTGTGTACTAATAAATATATTTCTTCTCATTTTGAATTTTTGAAATTAAACAACATAGTACTACATATATATATATATATATATATATATATATATATATATATATATATATATATATATAGAGGAGCGCTCACATGTGGCCATGTTGTTAGGTGTGGTCATATGGTCAATTATAGACCATTAGATTAGATAGATCTAATGATTCATATTAATCAAGATTTTTTCCAGTATTTTCGCGCACATTCTCCTACCCAGAGAACTGTAAGGGTAAACTTGTCATAAAACACCGGAATAGGAAAAATCACATTGTTGTGTGTTTTATTACACTATTGGTGCATGTTGTCAACACTGTTGGTGTGTTCTGGAACCCGACCGCTATAAATGGCCATTGTAATTACCATAACACGGGAATACACCATTGGTGTGTTTCACTGTGGTGTGTTTTATTACACTATTGGTGTATGTTGTCAACACTGTTGGTGTATTCTGGAACCCGCCCGCTATAAATGGTCACTGTAATTACCATAACACCCCCACTTACTAAAACGCGCGAAAATTCTCAGAATTACCACTGCCTTTAGATTAAACTGATTCAACGACCCAGATACGACCACACGACCATACCTAATGACATGACCACATATGAGCGTTTTTCTATATATATATATATATATATATATATATATATATATATATATATATATATATATACACACACACTAGATTTCTAATCTTAAGTCCCTATAACTCCTGTCTAAGAGTCGTTGAAGGAAGAAAATTGTGAGTCGCCCAAATAGTCTCCCCGTCAATCCCTATCGTTAACTCTAAGCACAAGAGATCAATCTTTATATTTCCGTCAACTTGGGAAACCCAATATCCAATCTAGGGAGCCGTAGCTCCAAGAATCCAATATATTTTTGGTGGGAGAACGTCGAATCCAACCATACCGCTAAAATGATAACTTTAAATCACATAATCTACAACTTAAGTTAACCCAGCAACAGTATTTATCATTTACTCAATAGGGAAATTTCCTCTTGTATATAAGTTGATAGGTCTAGAAGGGAGGGCAAAATAGTCATGGGAAAGTAAATATATATAATTAATTAATGTAATAGAAATAGAATAAAGAAGTGGAAATGATCTGTCCCCCATCTTCTTCATGTTTACATGTAGGCATCACTCTCTTTGACAAACTTCTATATATACCTACGCCATTGCTTTTCCTTCACAAACACTTCAAAAACAGAAACCAATCAATACAAGAAACAAGAACACTATATACATACATACAACTGAACTGAAAAATGGTGAAAACCGCGGATCAGCAGAAGATGATGGGTTCGTCTTCGAGCTCCGGCAATGCTGCGGCGGCGGCGATGAAGAAGAAGTACAAGGGAGTGAGGATGAGAAGCTGGGGATCATGGGTGTCGGAGATCAGAGCGCCGAATCAGAAGACCCGGATATGGCTCGGCTCCTATTCGACGCCGGAGGCCGCCGCCAGAGCCTACGACGCCGCCCTCTTATGCCTCAAAGGCGCCTCCGCCTCCGCCAACCTCAACTTCCCTCTCGACCACTCCTACCACATTCCCCCCTCCGGCGCCGTCTTGTCCCCCAAATCCATCCAGCGGATCGCCGCCGCCGCCGCCGCCGCGAACGGCGGCGGCGGCGCAATCCCCATCTCCGCCGCCGCCTCTCCCCCTTCCGGCTTCGCCTCTTATTCCCCGTCCTCCTCCTGCTCCGCTTCTTCGTCCTCGCCGCTCTCCGAAACCGCCGGCATTGAAGATGAGGATTATTTCCCCTGCATCGACGCCAACAACAACGCGCCGCCGGCTCATCATCAGGATCCGGCGGTGGCGGCCATAATGGCGCAGTGCAGCTGGTACAACTTCGACTCCCCAAAGTACAATGACATGCTTATGAACGGCGGCTTCTTTGATCCACCATTGGTTGAAGACGTGTACGAAGAGTTTGGAGAAATTCGGCTATGGAACTTCAACTGATCTCAGATTTATTTAATTTTATATTATTATATTATATATATTATTATATTATTAGGTTAAAATCAGTATATTCAATTCATTCTTTAATTTTAATGGCGACAAGATGTAAACTTGTTCGCTGAATTAATTACTTCACAAACAAGGCTACAGGAAAAGAGCGTAATTTCAAGACTCCTTCCTAGTACGCCATGCAATGCTAGCTGTGTAGCAATAATTATCCTCAAATATTATATTTCTATTTTTCTTTTTATTTTCTACAATTATATTTACAAAAACGTACTCTATTTTCAATTTTGTATCCTGATTATGTAAGTCAATGAAAATAAATATTTTTATTATCACGTAATAGGAGACCTTAGGAGGAAAAATAATAATAGTATTCAAAAAACAATTCTAATTTTGATAAAGTTAATTCTGAATTTTGCTTATTATATTAAAGGCCTTTTAAAAGCTACCAAATTTAATCTCCTTAAGTATTGAATAATTTGTAATTGTAATCTGTTGTTGGCTTTTCACGGTGTAATTTATTAATAATAGGATAAATTTGAAAAGTCATGACCATTGTGCTAATTATTTTTCACATATGGGAAACAAAGTCATGATATGTTTATTTTAGATGTCCTAATTTTACCATCAATTTTAACTTCTCACAAGAAAAAGATTATAGTGGATAATGAATTACAATTAATAAAAATATAATACCTCATGATTAATAACTAAAATTAAAAAAAAAAGTGGTAATCAAATGATTAAATTTAGAATTAACTCATTTTGATATATGACCTCTTAGCACTTTAATTTATATCATTTGACACGGCAAATTAATTGGTATTTCTTACGTAAAAAGGTTTTCAAAAGCATTATTGATGATTGATTTGTTTTATTTATATAATCTTGAGTAAAGTCAAAAAAGTATATTTTGGGGGTTAAATCACAAATACAGTTGAAAGGTAGAGAGTTGAATATCAGTAAAAAAAATATTAAATAATTGGAACATTAATTTGACAGTTACAGGTTTGACGGACTACAATCAATCCATGCATGAACATTTAATGTGATGTACAGAAGTGGCGACATGAAACCTCATTTTCTCCCGTAATAACTCTTCTATTGGTCCGACAAAGTCACACTATACGTTTTACTCTTTATTTACTTATTTGTTTTATTTGTATCTTATTAGTTTTTTACGAGGTATTTGTTTACATTGCAACGAAAAAAAATATGATGAAAAAAATTGGAATTTTATGGGAGAGAAATAATAGAGAATAATATATATATATATATATATATATATATATATATATATATATATATATATATATATATATATATATATATATATATATAGTCAAGTTCTTGTGAGGTCAAGTCTTCCCGTGCGGTCAGTGCGACATACACCATTAGGTATGCATAAATGCACCACACAGTGTTCGTAAATACACTATGACCCTGTTTAGTAAAATGGCTGTTAGCTGATAGCTGTTTGCCGTTAGCTGATTGTGTTAATTAGATAGTATAAATAGTTGATAATATTAGCTGATTGTAGAAAAGTGTTTGGTAAATTAGCTGTCAGCTGATAACTGTTTGGTATAATTTTTTTTCTCAAAAAGCTAATTGAAAAAGTTGCTAGGAGTAGCTTTTTTAATTTTAGCCTTTTGAAGTTGCAAAAAGCTAATTAACCAAACATTTATATTGATATTTTAACTAAATCAAATAATTAATAGTGATCAAATAAGCCAAAATTGGCCTATAGGCCAATTTTTTTACCAAACAGTGCCTATATGTGTGGTGTATTTTTTTTTTTTTGTGGTGCATTTCTTGACATGTCATTCTGGTGTATTTTCAAACACGGTATGATGTATTTATGCATACCTAATGGTGTATGTCGCACTGACCACACGGGAAGACCTGACCTCACAATAACCAATATATATATATATATATATATATATATATATATATATATATATATATATATATATGTATGTATGTATATATGTATATATATGTATATGTATTTAAATTTTATTCTTTGGTCGGTGAGAATAAAATAACTAAGAATTTTATTATTCTTATATTTTGCTTACATGGAAAATGAAAGAAATTTAGTAATATATTACCGTATATATTATATGTGAACATTTTGCATTAATAATTAAGGACTTGAATTGTGGTCAATGAAATAATCTTAAGACATCCATCCATCCAGCTAGTGTATAGCTAGATCGCATGACATTGAGAGTTGGAGTACAATCCAAGCAACTTTCATTTCACAATCATTCCCCCACCCCCCCCCCCCCCTGCCCTGCCCTGCCCCCAACTCCAATTTTAAATTCAAACATTAATTTCCTTCCCCCCCCCCCCCCCCCCCCCCCCCCCCAAAAAAAAAAGGACTATTTACATGCACTCTCCAAATATCTCGAGATAGTTCTAGCCATGCATGCAAATTTTTAATAGTGGCATGCACCTTTTGAGAAAATTACAAATATATGAATTCAGGGTATTTTGTACAAATTAAAAAGTAAAATATTTTTATTTTGAATTGAGAATTATTATAGAATAAGTCAAAGTCAATAATCAAAAGTAAAAATGGTCTATAGGCAAGATAAAAAAAATAAATATGTCATTATAGTTGAAATTCAAAAGTAAAATAAATTCTCTTGAATAATATGCGTATCTTTAGTTTTATATATTGAACTAACTACTCTTAATAGGAGTGAGATTTTATATATATATATATATATATATATATATATATATATATATATATATATATATATATATATATATATATGTGTGTGTGTGTGTGTGTGTGTGTGTGTGTGTGTGTGTGTGTGTGTGTGTGTGTGTGTGTTCGGCACAACTTAAGATTAACTTAAAATAAGTTGATAATTTTGCTTTGTTAGCGGCCAATGGGAGGTATAAAATGACTTTATTGTGGTATTAGTATACTAACATTTAGGGACTTATGGGTTAGTCGAGACACATATTAATCTCATCCACCAATCTCTATAGTAATTAAAAGCAGTAAGGCGCCCGCATGGATAGCTCAAGTGGTCATAGAAATGAAAGTTTGGAAGAATGACCAAGGATCGAGTCTCACCAGCGGCAATGTAGGAGCAATCTCTCAAAGTGACGGGGGTTCCTTGTGCGCAGTAAGCAAAGGTCTAGCCTTTGTAGTTCATGTTTAGTTGATTTACATCCTCCCATATACTCTAAGAGTTAGGGTTCAACCTTTTGGAAGAATTAAGAGCGGTAACGCTTTCAGTGTTAAAGTGAAATCATTTTTAAAAATCTATATGCTAATATGCAATGACCTATTGCATTTTTAGGGATATATTAAAACCATTCTTCAAGTATTTATATTATCTTAATTTGTTAATTTAATGATGGTTGATATAGTACGTGATTATTAAAAGGAGGGAGAGTGGGAGACTGTAAATTGGGTGTGAATGCACGGTGGAATTTGTTGAAAACGGATTAATATAATTTTACATTACAATTGACAAATATAAATTATTTTGGAGATTTATATATGGTCAAAGCTAGGATTAGTTGACACAGTATTGATAAAGTTCATGGCAACCGTAGCGTAGGAATTTTATTCATTGTGGTAAGTTCGGTTAATGTATCCGACAGTGAAAACCTTAAATACACTAAAAAAAAAATATTGTACAGATAATAATTCTCCTATTTAATGAATCATTAAGTCACCATGATTTACTTATTTATTATCACTTAGATTTGCATGTGGAGATGGTGAGAAAATTTTATTTTATTTTTAAAAAGGAGAAAAAAAGTAAAACAATTAAATTAGAGTTGAAAATGAAAGTCCAACATTTGTCAGCCCAAGTAACATGGTGGTCAATATATGGCTTCGAGAACACCAAACTTCACAAGCAAACCCATTCTTCACATGGGTCTGTCGTCTTGGCCGTGATGACGTCTCATACACTGTCCATTTCCTTTTTTTTTTTTTTGTTTGTTTGTTTTTTTTTTTTTTTTTGAAGTCCATTTCCATTCTCAACAACTCCTTTTACATATATTGCATATACACCATTCCTAACAAACAAAATAAACTATATAATAAAAACACTGATCGAATTATATATATTTATATATTATGGTGCTATATGCTTAGCTTCCTTCGTTCCAAGATTTTTTTTTATTTTATTTTTATTTTTATTTTTCAAATTTATGGCCTCTTTAGTTCGTACCTGGAAAGATATTATAAAGAATGAGTTTAAAATTTATGAACAGAGATAAATTTTATACTTCCACTACTGGAAATTCTGAAATTTCCGACCACCTGAAAATGATCTTAAATCAAGTTGAAAGCCTGGTTTCCGACCACTTTTGGTATCCGGAAAAACCTTTGCTGCTATTTCCGACCACTTTTTGCTTTCAATTTGATTTAAGATCACTTTCAGGTGGTCGGAAATTCCATAATTTCCAGTAGTGTTCATTGTTAGTTGGATTGGTATAAAAAGAAATTATTAGTAATAATTTATATAAAGACTCAAATACTACTAGTATTCTAGTAATATCGTCCAACTTCTTGTATTTTTCTAACCAAATGATGTGAAATTTAAAATATTTAAGGGGACCTTTGAAATATAATTATCGAAGAATTAAAACCTCTAGAATTGAATCACCCATTAACCCATCGTACATAGTACAACAATTTTTTCTCAAATTTGAAGAATTATTGAAACTCGAAGGAATTTATATTCATGTGAACCAAATGGACCGTTGGAGTGTAAAAGGCCACCATAATCACTTGGATGTGTTTATTAAGGGGAGAAATTCTTCATATTTTCTAAAGAAAGGGAAAACTAAAGGAAAAGGCATAGTCTCTTTCAAAAAAAAAAAAAAAAAAAAAAGGAAAAGGCATAAAGACTACATTTCTAAAAAACAATGAATAAAAAAAAAATGAAACATGATAATTTAAGTAACAAAGTGTATGTTTCTCCTATTACCATATTATTATTAATGGAGGAATTGGGCAAATTATAGTGTGAACCGCGGTCCACAATGCATTGTGGTCCAGACATAAAGTATGCACTGTAGTTTCATTTCAACACAACTATAGTATTGTTTTGATATAACTACAGTTTCACTGTACAATATACACTCAAAAATGTGAAATTGTTATTCAGTTTCATTTTGTATACAGTTTCATTTCAACACAACTACAATTTTATTTTAATTCAATTGCAATTTAATTTTATAATATAATAAAAATAA